ATCTATCTATTAGTTATCATATCTATCTATCTATCTAATCTAATCATTGCCATGCTATCTATCTATTATCTATGCTATCTATCTATCTATCTATCTATCCTATCTATGCCATCCATTCCATTATACTATTCTATCTATCTATTTATCTATCTATCTATTATCTATCTATCATCTTATCTATCTATGTATCTTATTCTATCTATCTAATCTATCTAATCTATTCTATCTAATGCTGACTAATCTATTCTTATCTAGTCTATCTATCTTTATCTATCTATCTATCATACCTATCTATCTATCTATCTCATACTATTATCTATCTATCTATTCTATCTATCTATCTATCTAACTATCTATCTATCTGAGCCCTATTCTATTATTGATCTATCTAATCTATTATCTATGCTATCTATCTATCCATCCCATCTATCTTATTCATTTTATCTTATCTATCTATCTATCTATCTAGTCTATCTGATCTATTACTATTCTATCTATCTACGTATCTATCTATTCTATCTATCTATATAATTATCCTATAACTATCTGATCTTATCTATCTACTATCTATCTGTATCTATCTTATCTACTATCTAATCTATCTATCTATGCTACTACTTCTATCTACTATCTAACTATCTAGTCGTATCTATCTACTACTATAACTATCTATCTATCCTATCTATCTATCTATCTATGCTACCACCATACCATTCATCTATTTATCTATCTATCTTATCTATCATCTATTCTATCTATCTATCTATGCTATCTATCTATCTTATCATTCTATCATATCTATCTATCTAGTATCTCTATCTATCTATCATCTATCTATCTATGCTATCTTTATCTATCTATCTATCTGATCTATTCTATCTATGCGTATCTATCTATCTAATCTATCTATCATCCATCCATACTATCTATCATCTATATCTATCTATTCTATCTAATCTATCTAGTCTATCTATCTATCGTATATATCTACTAGTCTAATCGATCAAAAAAAGGCTATCGATCTATCTAATCTATTATCTATCTATCTATCTTATCTATCTATGATCTCTATGCTATCTATCTATCTATTTCTATTCTATCTATCTATCTATGCTTATCTATCTATTCGTATCTATCATCTACTATCATCTATCTATCTATCTATCTACCATACCATCTATATATCTATTTACTATCTATCTATCTATCTATCTATCTATCATCTATCTATCTAATTCTATCTATCTATCTATCTAGTCTATCTATCTATCTATCTTCTTATTATATATCTATCTATCTACTCTATCTATCATCTACTATCCTATGCTATCTATCTATCTATCTATCTATCTATCTACTATGCTATCTGATTACTATCTATCATCTAGCTATCAGTCGTATCTATCTATCTATCTATCATCTATCTATCTCTCTATCTATATCTCTTGCCAACATAAGGAATCAGTTGGCCGTGCTTGAGAAGTTCTACATAGCAAGTTGGTTTAAGGGTTAGGTGGCATCTGGTGGAAAAGGGATGTTAGAGAACATTTTCGTTCGCATGAGCGCATAGGCAGGAACATTTTTATGCATTTTCCGCGATGGATTCTGATAGAGATTAACGGGAAGGTTGCAGACCCTAACCGCCAGCATGCAGTGGTGCTTGCGACAGCGCTTGTTACAACTGTTAAAAACGTGTGCGAAGGCAGCAGCTACGGGAAGCAGAGGAAAGCGAGGCAACGCGATGTCGACAGTTGATGCGGGATTTGATGGAACGTATCGGGAGTATCGTATCGTATCGTATCGTATCGACATTACCCCAAGAGTCTGCTGATGCGATAAGTAAGCAACGTGCTTTATGATTTTGAGAGTGATAACGTTAATTAAACGACGTAGTATTACGAGTATGGAGGGACTCTGCGCGTGATGCTCCGGTAATTCCGATGTGAAAGCGATGATGCATGCACATAGTATAATTACAGAGATGAACAGCCGAGCCGGAGACGCGTGTGTGACGCCCTTTTCATTAATTAGCGGATCGTCGATCTTAACGAGCAACTGAAATGCATATTGACGCTGTTATTTATTCGCGGTATATACAATTTATAGACAATATTATATGCAAAGAAATAACGATAGGCGATGATACGATATAACTAAAAAAAACAAACTAACTAAAGTAAGACAAACCATGCACTAAATCCAGCCAACACCGAACCGCCGAACCATGAACCCCGAACCGCGAACACGCGAACCTGACCTCCAAACACCCGAACTCTGAACCAGCCCTGCATCCACGAACCCGAACCCGAACCTGACCCCAAACCCGAACCTGAACCCGAACCTGAACCAGAACCCGAAGTATGACAGTAACGGTAACAGTAACAGTAACAGTAACATAACGAGTAAACGGTACGGAACGGTAAACGGTAACGGTAACGGTAACGGGTAGCACGTGTAGGGTAACGGTAACCGGTAACGTAAACGGTAAGCGTGAATGGTAACGGAACGGTAACGGTAACGGTAACAGTAAAGTCACAGTAAGGCAGTAGTGCAGTAACAAGTAACAGTAAGTCTAACGCTGACTAGGATCGTAATGTCTCCACTGGGTTACGGCCGGAAGCGTAATACCCTGGGTACGGTCGGCGGTATACCGAAACGTACCGCTGGTAACTATCTGATATGGTTAGGGTTAGGGTTATGGGTTAGGGAGTAATAGGCGTAGGCACTCCCTAGACTCGTTAGTAAAAGAGTAGGGTCGAGGTATCGGACGGCATATTAGTGGATAGTACCAGGTAACGTTTTCGGCGTATACCGACGTACCTCAGGGTACGTTCGCAGACCGCAGGGGCACATACAGACCCTGGCAGCGTAACAACGGGTCAATGAACCACAGAGGTTGTGCACTTTGTCAGATATACGAAGATGCGCCAGTTAGGCCACTCGGGTTAAGTAAGAAACGCAGTCTGAGCGAAGACGAACTGCAACAGTAAGCGTGCAAGCACACTGGTTTTTAATCCAACTGCAGCATGCCCTTCCGATTACTAAGGTTACCATTATAGCAGACTACTACAAAACCAGCATGCGCGGCAATGTGGCTGGCCAACGGAACGTGTTCGTGAAGCGACTATAGGTCCCATGTTGTATCTAACGGAACTGGGAGTGCAAGGCATCGTGCATCGGCAGAAAAGATGCAATACATCCTATTAATAAGTCACGGGTTAGTCGCATAATAGAGACCATCAGAATGCCATACATAGAGATCTCTAGTTGGGGTATGTGACCTCTTGATGCATGTACGGTACTCGACCTGCACTTTGCTATCTTCAGCATGAATACATAAATCTTAGCCGTCGGTGAAGACTAGTCCAAGTTAGTGTCAGCTGTCTGATTTAATATCTATTCCGCGCAGCGATACCTTCGAACGGTGGTTTATTATGTGTCAATTTGTGGCGGGTAATCAATATGATGCGCGTCTATGGCACAATCATTGTGAACAAGCAGTCATCCCTAGCTGGACAATTCCAAACTGACTGTTTTTTTTTACTATGAAATGGAACTGGTGTTGTGTGGCTAGCAAAGAACCACAATCCATCCTACTTATGGCACAATTCCAGCGTAAAACGGATTCTGCGTCCAGGAGTCTGACGCATAGCGTTTCCTTACTGAGCTATTATGAACGTAATACATAAGAAAGTAGTGGTAGTAGTAGTAGTCGTAGTAGTAGTTAGTAAGTAGTAGTAGGTAGTAGTAGTAGTAGTAGTAGTAGTAGTAGTAGACTAGTAAGTATTATTTTTTGTGGTTGTGTTAAGTAGTAGTAGTAATAATAGTAATAGTATTAGGTAGTAGTAGTAGTAGTAGTAGTAGTAGTAGAGTAGTATAGTAAGTAGTAGTAGTATAGTAGTAGTAGTAACATAGTAGTAGAAGTAGTAGTATAGTAGAGTAGTAGTAAGTAGTAGTAGTAGTAGTAGTAAGTAGTAGTAGCAGCAGCAGCAGAAACAGTAAGCAGCAGGGCCGGCAGCAGCAAGGAACAGAAGTACATACATACATACATACATACATACATACATACATACATACATACATACGAACTGAAATATATATTAGATGTACTTATTAAGAGAACGCGCTGACATGCGACGTGCTACGCGGGTTTCTGGCAAGCGAGTGGAGAAGATCACAACATCACGCGACAACAATGGCGACAATTTCATACGGATCCGTTTTATTTCGGTTGTGGGGCCTTTGTCTCTGGAACTTTTACTCGCTTCTAGGTTTACCCCAGGTGTGGCAGCGTATATAGAGACTCGTGTGTGAAATGGCTGTATCTTGTTGTCGCATAGGTTGCCATGGGAATGACAGAAAGCAACGTCAGCGTGTATATAAAATGCATCAAAATGGCGCTTTTTTTTCGCGATGTATCGATCCATTGCGGTGCGTTGCGCGTTGAAAGAAATGTCATGCGCTCACCTGTCCTGGTCTATAACTGGAGTAGCGCTGCATCGCACTCGGATGATGTCACCAGATTTCTTTTTTACGCAGCAGCGTCCTTCCCACGCCTGAGAACAGAAAACAAGAATACCTGCTTTAGGCTGTGCACGGGGTGTTCTGTTTACAGCGCCGTGTTTGTATTCTACTACACGCAGTGGTCCCCCCACTGGTAGTTAATTGTCCTAGTTATTATTATTATTATTATTTTTATTATTAAATCTTTATTGCATGTAATCCAAACACAAATACATGAACCTGGAGTGTAGTGAAGAGACATGTTCTAGTGATAGCATTCGGTTTACTGCACGCGCTGCTATGCATTTGTTGTTCAGCATGGAATGATAGGATAGTACCCTACGTGTAGGGTTTGGTATGGAGAATATCTGGGATTCGTCCTGCATGTAATGCGTTGTTAATTGTATGCTGTCATGATGATTCGTGTTTCATGTTTGTTACGTATACGTCCGCATGATTGTGACTTTTAGCAGCAAGTTAGCTCTAAACTAACTGTTAGTTACGTTGTCAACTAAAGATACTACATTGAAAAAAATAGTGAATACATTACTATCTCTTTCCATACATTCCGTGTTCATTACTCTCAGAGCTTCACAGAATTTACCAGAGAAGCTATTCGCGAGGGTCGCATTAACAAGGCCATTATATGACATTCGAAACATTTGTTATCACTAATTAGCTTATTGCAATGTCCGGACCGTTCACGCTGCAAGCACCTGCACAGGGGACACATCTGAAGATGTACATGCTGGCAATATGGCCGCGAATGCAGCACACGAGATGAACATATTGTCGTAGGCGCACTGGATTGTACCGAATGACAGTACCAAAATTATGATGACAATACAAAACTCAGGTGGCAATACATAACACTGGTCACAATATAGGCTACTGACGGCAATACATATAACGCGTGACAATACGGAATACTGGTGCCAATATATAACATTTGTGACAATATAGAACACTTGTGACAATGCAGAACATCGGCGACAGAACAGAACTAAATGAGAATGTTTTCTAGCCTACAACTGCAAAGGTGTCGTTTCCACAATTATGCGTTTTACGCATCATACATAAAATTCTAAATGTTGACAAGTATACATGCATTTACTTGCGGTCATTACCTATCCAGCCTCCGGCCAATTATACTAATGAGATGGTCGCTTCGCTCGTACGCTATAGGCTCCCTATGTCCACGACTCAAATTGTACGGAACGCATTTATTATGTCGCATCAGGGAAAGTGGAAAATAGCTGCCAGCGTGACACCGTAACTATGGAAACGTATCTGCCATTGTGGAGACTGTGCGTGAGACGGAGGCTGCGGTGGCGGGGAACGACAGCGACCGACTAACCGCGCTCTCTCTCTCTCTCTCTCACTGTGACATATCATTCGAAGCTGGCTAATGACTCAAGCGTGGCGCGAGATAGCAGAGTGTCAGATCGAAGTGATGGCGTACGAGAAAGCAATGCAGCCGATGTCGCAACGATCGTACAGCTAAGAACTTGGGAGCGCTATAAACCCGAGGAACAGTACTACGGGTGTTACAAAAATTAACGTCGCTATTTTTTCCGACAGCGGTTCAGGACAAAGGTCTAAGACTAGGTCAAAGGCCAAAGGTCTAAGATTAGGTCAAAGGTCAAAGGTCTAAGACTAGGTTAAATGTCAAAAGACTAGGACTAATCAACGTAGCGACAGCATCTCTCAATGTGATCATGAAGTGCGTCTATCTGTATCATCCTAGCACTGATTGCCGAGTGATGATGACGCCACATAGACTTACATCCAACGCGAATCCACGTGAATACGAGTGTCGAGCGCATGCGCACTTACCTTGGCCTTCTTAACATGGGCGAACATCTTTTCCGTCTCGTCTCCTGAGCTACTGTAAAACAGTTCGCGGCTGCCTCGGCCGAGTATATCCTCGCTGCTGTAACCAGACAGTCGCTCGTACGCTGCGTTCACGTACTGCAAAGTCGACGACGATAAGAAAAAACGTCATCGTCAATCTGCACCACGAAGCCATTACGTACAAAACACAAATACGTTATGACTATATTCGAGCGGATTAGGATCAAACATCGAAACGGTTTAATATATGATAGATTTTAGGAGAGTAGCGCCTGTAAATTAATATAATTAACCTTTTAATTTATTTTAATTAAATTAAATTAACCCTATAATTATTATTTATAATAAAATATAATGGTAGTATATAGTAAATATAATAACGCCTGTAATAAAAGTTTCAGTTTCTTATTCAAAGCGCTTGCAAATATAATACCTAGGCAAAAATTCTGTGAAGCAAGTGCAATAGAGTAGTAGTAGTTGTTTAGTAAGTAGTAGGTAGTAGTAGTTAGTTTAGTTAGTAGTAGTAGTAGTCAGTATAGTAGTAGTAGTAGCCAGCAGTAGTAGTAGTAGTAGTTTAGTAGTAGTTAGTAAGTAGTAGTAGTAGTAGTAGGTTAGTAGTAGTAGTTAAGTAAGTAGTAGTAGTAATTAGCAGCAGCCAGGCAGTAGCTTAGTAGTAGTTAGTATTAGTAGTAGTAGTAGTATAGTTAGGTAGTAGTAGTAGTTAGTAGTAGTGTGCTAGTAGAGTAGTAGTAGTAGTTAAGTAGTGGTATAAGGTAAGTAGTAGTAGTAGTTTAGTAGTAGTAGTAGTAGTACGTAGTAGTAGTAGCCCAGTGATTAAATATAGTATCGCTTTTATTAAATATTAATTTTGAGCACTAGCGCAAATGAACTACGCCAACGATATTTACGTCATCACGGTAAAGGGCAGCTGCTTCAATTGCCACATTCTGATTATTTAATAAATAGGCAAAAAACTCACAATCAATGTATTTTCATACCCCCACTGGCTGTTTCATTTGCTATAGCATGTGTCTTGGTATTTCGTGACAGCTAGGGACTTTCTATTGCATACCGTATTGGACTACAAAGCCATTGCAAGACGTGTCCATGCGCAAAGAATAGAAGGTCGCGGACCATCATTTATGGCATTCAAACTTTAAAAATATAATCTGATTGGCTGTATATTGAATGAGGAATAACTTGGAATAACAACGGGATGTAATGGTCATTCGCTATCACACACGATCGAGAATTTTACTGATCTCATGATATATATATATATATATATATAGGCCTTGTATAATCATGTGTAGTATAAAGAGATTATATCGTTTAAAAAAATGTATTACTTCCTTTAAAGGATCGCAACCAAATTCTTAGAACTGCTACCAGTTGGGTGATATATTCACGACAGTATAAAATCTTTCTTCGTCGATTTTTTTTACACCATGTTTGTTCGAGAGAGCGAGAGGAGGAGAGAGAGAGAGAAGAGAGAGAGATTGAGAGAGAGACGAGAGAGAGAACGATGAGAGAGAGAGAGAGAGAAAGAGAGAGAAAAGAGAAAGAGAGAAAGAAAAGAGGAAATTATATTTATTTTTCACTTTCTATTATTGTTTACTTAATTTATCAATTTTTACTTATATATATATATATTATATATTATATATGTATATATTTATTTATGTTATTTTATTTTACCTGTATGTCGTGTGGTCGCGGTCCCCGTGAATCTGGATTGGCATGGAGCACTTGTCTAGCGCGGAAAACAATCGCTTTTTCTGACGCCATTTTGATCTTGCGCCTGTTCAGCATCATGTTCTTGCCCGTTCCAGCGTTTGCAGGTAGTCTGGAAGCAGCGCCCCACGTTTCTTCCGTCCTTCGTGGAAATACTGCCGGCAAACCAGACGAGCCGAGTTCAAATTTACCCCCATTCGTGGCCACGACGCGCGAAATTATTCGGTGAAATATAACGCTTTAGCGCAGCGCTTGAAAGCAAACCCCCGCTAGACGGCGCTTCATCTCGGGCGTTTCTCGAGTCCAGAAGGAATTCGAAGGGCCTGTACGGGTGCTTGCATTATATTACACCGCGCCCTCTCTCTCTCTCTCTCTCTCTCTCTCTCTCTCTCTCTCTCTCTCTCTCTCTCTCTCTCGCTCTCTCTCTCTCACTCTCTCTCTCGCTCTCTCTCTCTCTCTCTCTCTCTCTCTCGTGTTGCTCTACTCGTGGGGGGTACTGCCGCCTAATTACATTTGCGGTACACGGCAAGATGTAGACCCCAGGCGGTGAACGTCATTAAACTATTTGTCGGATTTCGAGCGGAAAAGTAGAAAAAACGTGAAAACCGGGACGCGCACGTCAATGTTAATTTCACCCGCGAGCTGCGCTAGCACGACATGGACATAAGCCGTGGCGGCGGCGGCGGCGGACGCAAGATGGTGTTGGCGATGCTTACTGTGTCGGTCTATGCAATCCGAAATAAATGCATTCATATCACAGGCACTTGGAACGTCTCAATAAAAAAATTAATGGTAAATAAACACGAAATGTACCAAAGTCTTAAATGTTTCTCTACTCTATTTCGCCTATAATCACCTGTAAATGCCGGTCAAATGCTCATCTGCAACACACAAGTACACCGCACGCCCGCCCTGTGCATTTCGTGTTTATTTACCATTAATATTTTTTATTGAGACGTTCCAAGTGCCTGTGATTCATATAATCAGGAGTGTCATAACATAAATGATCTATATGATCAATATTCCATAATAGACAGTATTTTTCTATTATGGACTCTTGATATGATCTATTTTATGACACTCCTGATATAATACGTTGTGCAAGCCACGAAGACACATTTGTCAAGTTAAAGTGTGTAGATTACACGAATTGAAAACTCATACTTGATCTTTTATCCCCAAAATAAACACTAAAACCCTATAGTTATTGACCCTTCAACAAAGATACCTCTACAAACGAAGATGCGAATCGGTCTCGAAATAGAAGTAACGCGAACGTGTTTGTAAACGTGGTTGTAATATTGATTCGATTTAATCGGCTGCGGGAAACCTTGCTCAGCACGAAGACACTGCCGCGTTTCGCCATCAGACGAACGACACGATGAGCCCTGGTTGTAGGCGGTTAGTAATCTCGACATTTCTTCATTTTCATGATTTTCCCGCCTCGTTGCGTGATGCTACGACGGACACTGCATTGAAGCATCGTCCCTCACCCCCTGCACCGACCACTGTGCGCGTGTGCCGGTCCTGACCTACTTCGCTGGTGAATTTCAGCTGTGAGATGTCTTCTCCTTTCATACTACTTGTTACCTGAACACGCAGCTGCACTACACGCCACAAGAAGTCCAATAGCATCAAGCAAAATACACACGGACGCACTCAGGATTGCAATTATCCAGCGGCGAGTAACAAGTAACAGTATTAACGCACTGATGTCGGGCACGGATATTTCTAGCTCGCTCATCTGCAACACTGTGCGTAAACACGCGACTATATATGTACGCGTGGGTGTAGAATGTTCATGAGGACCCTGCGTGCGTAGAGAAAGATTTGCTAACGAGATCTGCTGGCTGCCTGTTTCCTTTGAACTTTTATTTGTTTCGTATGTGCTGGCTGCTTCGTACATGCTCATTCACGGAGGTTTGCGGATACATGTGAGTTCAGGTCCCAAATCAAGTTCACGTGTGCCCGTGTTGAATTCCTCCCACGTTTCCGTGTCTGAGACCTTCGCATTTTTGCTGACTTCAAAAACAACGACGACGATGATGATGATGACGACGGCGTCGGCAACCACATCAACAGCAAGCAGCAAAGTTGATAGCGGTCGTGTTTTAGAGCGGGTGGTAGAGTAATGAACGCATCTATCGTGCATTGCGTGTTATACAACTTAAAGTCTGTGTTCACATTACTAGCCGTACATCATGAAATAAGGAAAGAGATATTTTTCAGCTGTCCCTGACCTTTCGTCTTATGGATCTTCATACGTAATTTGACGGATTCTAAAATCCTAATCTCTCCTAATCTCTCCGTCGACAAAAAAATTTCGCCAACCAGCCATTTTTTCATCCACATGTCAACGGACAGAGCCCTTGATTCTGGCGTATGCAGTTCTTCGCCCGCGATATGCAAGAACGCACTACACAAATCTCAACATGACATCGTCGTCAGTACTTGATTGTAACACTCTACTTACCCCGTTGAAACCGCCCTTTAGCAGTGGTACAAGAGACGGTTCATCAGAGTCGCCAGCACTGGAAAAACAGCAGATAAAAATGATGACTCATAAACGCAGTTGTGCGCGCTATAAGATGGTAACAACGACACATAAACTCTCATAACAGCAAAATACAAACACAACACTAATATTGACCAAAACATTGCATATTGCATTCGCACTTACGCGCACACTCACGCTCATGCCCACCTTATTATTAGTAATATTGACTTTAACAATAAAGCTAACACTACACTAACCCAAACGACGCTAGTAAATTTACCCAATCCAATAAACAATAAAGATTCTGCGATTACAATGATGCTGCCGATATTACATCTGACGCACACATTTCTGTGTCACACAATCAATGGTTCGCACTGCCATCGCTTCGCTTCTGTAGAAAGGTTAGATGATCCTATAATCAATCACCTGGCTGTAATTCACACCTACGTCATTGTCTAGCGACGAGTTTTTGATACGTTTGCAGGTGACACATTATACGTGACACATTATAGGTGACAGCGTGAGATTAACTTTACTGTCTCTGCTGTTGCTGCTGCTGCTCGCCCGTGCGTTGCCCTAATGATGCTATCTCGCCATGTTCTCGCTAACTCTTTGTACTCTCGCTGTCGACTGTCGCTTTCTCGTGTCGCTGTTGCCACGACAACATCGGACATCATTATATATATATATATCCTCTTCCTCTTCTTCCTCCTACCCCTCCTCCTCCTCCTCCTCCTCCTCCTCCTCCTCCTCCTCATCCTCCTCCTTCTCCTCATCCTCCTCCTCATCCTCCCCTTCCTATCCGCAGTATTTCTGCATTAACATCACTGTTCTGATTCGCTGCCGCTCTATGCTGATTCGCGTTCCCCATCAGCGGCAGAGGCGCGTGCGAACACCGTCGCTTCGTTATCTGTCGCTGGCTGCAGGGTGCGCGGCGGTGCTGCTGCTGCAGGCGCTGCCCCGCCAGACGCCCTGCCGACTCAGGCTACCACATCAGCTCACGGTGGCTAAATTCACGCGCGAGGTCTACAAGCTTCAGCCAGCTAAATACCGATGGGAGCTCGATGCATGTAGAGCGAGTGTGCATGCTCGTAGAGCGAGTGTGCATGCTCGTAGAGCGAGTGTGCATGCTCGTAGAGCGAGTGTGCATGCTCGTAGAGCGAGTGTGCATGCTCGTAGAGCGAGTGTGCATGCTTCGTAGAGCGAGTGTGCATGCTCGTAGAGCGAGTCGTAGAGTAGTCCCCTTAAGCAATGCTGTTTTCCGCTAACTTCCCGTCTCTCTCTCTCTCTCTCTACTCTCTTCTCTCTACTCTCTCTCTCTCTCCTCTCTCTCTCTCTCTCTCTCT